CCCACCTGTTGTATTAATTTTAAAATGCACATACTACGCCAAAACTATAAACTTCTATGGTTTATATCCAGTTGTGAGCGTGAATACAAGAGCTCTTGTCATGATACCTAACTTTATGCTCAGATTTAAGAGGGAAAAAAAAAGAATATCTATGCAAAAAGATCAAATGCACCAATTGGACCATATCATCCATTCATTCCCTTGGGTAAGAACATATACTAGAGTTCTTTTTGAACCTTATTCCCTTGGGTAAGAACATATACTAGAGTTCTTTTTGAACCTTAGAGAAGTAACCTCTGAAATCAACTAAACAAAGTAAAAGTTAAAAAGTAAAATAAAGAGGACAAAAATCAAATAGGACTGAACAGAAAGACCAATTTTTGGATGGTCAGATCGAATTGTTAAGGAGCCCAAGAACTTTTTTTTTTTTTTTTTAATTAAACATCCAGCTATGCTAAAGTAAAGCCCAAATTTTAGATAAAAAATATCCTCATAGCCAGCATCTTGTGCCTTGCAAGTAGTATTGTTCACCCCGATGCGGTAGATAAGTGGACAAGGTCGCGATAGGACCTTAGTTAGTCACAGGGGCCTTAGTTAAGGAATAGCATTTTATTCTACAGTCACATGGGCTTTGCTCTACGTCTCTATCAGTCAAAAAATGTGGGCAAATTCCTTAATATATATATATATATATATATGGTTAAAGTAAGATACACTTCAATTGCCGGAAACTCCGAAGATGTAAATACTAAAAATGGTACAGATCCAACAGATTTATAGGCACTTGAAAATTTGGAAAATCGATAAACTAGACAATTTATTGCAAGATGCACTATTCTTAAGACTTGAAATCTTTTCTCCGTGTTTTGATATTTCATCTATCTCGCAACCATGATGATCAATAGGAGGGTTTTTCAGTCTCTAAACAATAATTTTCAGTAAATATTCAAGGCATGCCTCTCTTCCCCCTCCCTCTGCTCTGCTGCTCATAATGGATTTTTAAGGTACGCCTCACTTGTATTATATAAGGTTGAAGCCTCATATAAACCCTCGTCCCCATCTCTTGATAGAGAGTGATGATAACGAAGTTGGATTAAACACTAAAAAACCGTTCAATTGCGCAAGTGGGGTAAGGAGGGTGAGGCAAATTGTATGTTACATATGACCAGTTTCTATGCGGCCAAGCCCGCATAAGTAGAAATACAAGCCTCCTAATAAATCTATTTTTTAGATGATTTTTTTGACTTAATTTTTTGGGGATATGTAATCTCTAATATGAAGATCATGAATATGAAAAATTAAATAAATTTTAAAAACTAGAAATAATAATTCTAGTAAAAAACATTTGGAATGTTAGTATCCATTTTGTTTAAATGGAACTCCTACTTACATCCATCTTCAAGATAGATGCTTTACACTTTTTGGACGGCATAGGTAGTCATGCGGTCCAGCATGCATGAAACACTTTTCAATAATAAAAACATCATTGTGGTAACGTGGTTGGAATTGTGGTAGTAGTATTTCCCCATGCTTTAGTTTACACGTTGTGGCTTCTATTCCCATTAATAGCTTCAAAAACTACTAACCCTTCAAACACGGGTAGGGCACCACTTAATTACCCCCAAAAAAAAAAAATCGTTGTATGTCTTTTTTTTCTAGAGGTGGCAATGGCTCTTTGGGATTAGACCTGAGATCACCAGACCCTGACCCAAAAATTAATGTGGGACCAGGACTCAAACCTAAATTCGATCCAAAAATCAGAATATCTATAAATTTAGATATATTTCATAAATTTGCTAAATATGTACATGCACTATTTAAATATTGTAACAAAAATATATAGTTATATTTACTTAAATATTATTTAAGTATCATACATAAATATTATTTAAATATCAACACTATTCAGATTGAGTCCAAGTCAGGTCTGCATGGACCCGAACCTGACCTGCCGGGTCCAATTTTTTAATCCATACTCGGACCTGATCAGGTCGTGGGCTCTGGCTCTGGGTCTGGTCCCCTGCCACCCCTATTTTTCTCTTTAGACAGGGGAGGGAAAGTAAAAAGAAACATGAAAATTCTAGTGGTTATGAGAGAGAGAGAGAGAGGGAGAGAGAGAGAATTCACACTAATCAAACAAAGTGGGTTGGTGTAGTAAAAGATGACAATTCTAGTGGTTGAGAGAGGGGGTATTTTTCAAATTTGAGTAGAGAGAGAGAGAGAGAG